TGGGAATAGCTAGGATGGGTGACAGTGTTGCTAATTACATTATTGAACTGATAGCCTTTTACGTAGGAAGGGAATCACGAGAGCAATGGATTTCTTTGGACAGCCACGATGGATGGTATCAGAGGATGATGAGTCGTCGGGTGAGTCACTTAACAAGACATTTCCTACAGTTCGATTACAACGCATCACAGATGAATGAGTGCATGACGGGAGAAAAAAAAAAAGATATCCTGCAGAGTAATTGAGGGTTACGACTAGCAATTCATCGATGGAGATTGCAAGCAATTAGACGAATAAAGATCAAATAATCATTAGATGGTAAAAAAAAAAAAAATCGAGGCGTACAATCAGAACAAAAAGATAGGAAGATTTTGCGGACAGACAGTTAAACGAATAGACAGACAGGTGATTGAATGTTTCATTTATCGTTTTGCTTTGGAGAGTACCATAAGTTGGATGGTTGTCTTTCTTCCATCTCGATGAGCAGTGGCGGTTTATTACTTAGCACAGAATACCTTTTCGTCATTCAAAAGGAATCAAAGATTACATTGTCCTCTGTCACCGCTATCATTTATTTGTATAAAACTGCTTCTTTTGCACCTTGTACGTACTTCATTTATCCATTTTAATTTTTAAATTAATCACAGAATTGCTTTCAAGTCAAATTGATGTTTGGTCTTTCGGATATGCAAACTGTTTTTTGGCTCTATAGTTTCAAGCTATTATTCCTGTCGGACTTGGTCATTGTCATTGTATCAAGTAATCTCGATAGTTTTCTCTTTTCGTCCTTCATAACTTTACCATTTTCATAGCTGTTCCAATAATGGTTAAAAGGTCATATTTGTAAAGTCTATCGGTGATGTGTCTTTTGAATTTTGGAATCAATTCTTCATAAGTATTTATACCTGGTCAGTATCTTTTTGTCACGTTTTAATTAATACATACGATAGCGCGTATGTAGTGTCGCGTTTGTGTCATAGGTTTCAGAATGTCAACAGCACATCATGCGCAAATGTAAGTGCTGCAAACTAGTTTGCTGTATGACGTATTGTCTTTGTCTGCTTATCAAATTTGAGTAATATTTGAAGATTAATACATTTGGCGGTTGTGTCGTAGTAAAAAATGGTATCGGAAACGGAAACTGCTGTAACAGGAGTTACTTCTGAAAATTGTATGAATAATATGGATGAGGATGACTTGAAGACAATGAAAGTTGTTCAGGAACAATTCCTTGCCGTTGATGCCGCCGAAATTAAGGAAGTTAGCGAGCATTCCAAGCAGGTAAGCAAACTTTTAATTATTTCTCACAACGAAATTACGAAATGCAAGAATTGAAAATGTTTGGTATGAAGTGATGGGCGAGCGAAGCACTGGGAGGGAGCGCGCTGTTATCATACCATCTCCAGCAGTTAATTGTTCTCTGATCGATTTGATGTTATGCAATTCGGTTCATTTTTGGTTTTTTGATTGTTGAAACAGTGACTGATAGTGGACAACGTCTACTCATTTTACTGCTCGAAGGGCAGTGTTCTTTTGTACGAATTTCTGACTTCAACTGAGTATTAAACATCACTGGAATACATGTTATAAAAGTGAAAAAGAAAAATGATAAAAATAGTAAATGATATGAATAATCGGAATTGAAGACGAAATTCCTGAGGAAGAATCCCGTGATAAACCAATGAATATAGTTGACACTGAAAACGATATTATAATTTATTGATGCTTGAGGAAGCAAAGCATAGGCATATAGGCGTACAATAAACAATGGTTTATTGCTCTGATCAATCTGATTCTTGTATTACAGATTAAATTCAAGGCGGAGATTGTGTGGAGGAATGTGGCGTTATTTTTAGCTCTTCACGTTGCATCACTAATCGGTCTTTATCAGTTTATTTTCCTCGCAAAATGGCCAACTTTATTTTGGTGTAAGTCATTGAATTTGACTTCTTTGTAGATTAATTAATTTCGGTTTAGGATACTGTTTTTCTTACGCCAATGTTTTGTTTCTTTTTGTAGATAACTTGTCCTCTTTGGATACCTTTCTATTTGATATCCATCTTAAATACATCACTGTAGATCATTTACTTATTTGGTGACTATCGTATTTTGTTTAGATTGCATCTGTTGGCTTATGGGCGTTATGGGTATTACTGCTGGGGCACATCGCCTTTGGTCACATCGAAGTTACAAGGCCAAATGGCCTGCTCGATTGTTTTTGATGTTTTGCAACAGTATGGCGTTCCAGGCGAGTTTTTATTGATCGCGATATTTCTTTTGCATTTCCTCTATTAAATACATCAATATCGCTCGTCCGGTTTTACTTCTTCCATTTCTTATCTATTATTGGTTGGATATCGTGTCCTGTCAGTCAGCAAATTTTAGAACGATGTTATTGAGTGGTCGCGGGATCATCGCTGTCACCACAAATGGACAGACACAGATGCTGATCCGCACAATAGCAGTAGGTAAGGATTTAGTTCATCGTTTTCTCCGTCATATCAATTGCAAGTTAAGTATAACAGTACCATGGTCCGGACCTCTCAAAATAATTCATGATGTAAGTGATGTACAATAATTACATCACTAGTAGACTTGGGTATCATTAATGATTCAAATTTCATAATCATCAAGCATTGTTTACTTTTCAGTTTGATTTGGAATTTTTTGAATATCATATTACAGAGGAATGTTTTTTGCGCACATGGGCTGGTTGATGGTCCGGAAACATCCGGAAGTTAAACGGAAAGGCTCTCAATTAGATCTGAGCGATTTGTTCAATGATCCTATCCTCGCATTTCAAAGAAGGTCCCTTTCCTGTTAATTACTATTGTTTTCATGAATGTGTAGTTGAGGGATCCCTATTTAGCTTCACTTTCATGTGACCAATTTTTATACTTCGCAGAGAGCATGTAGGAACATGAAAGGTAAGAAGATCTAGTTTCAGTATCCAATTAACTCCTTAATAGTCTAATTTGAGTATTCTAATTCGATTTGATTTTTAATATAATTTCTCAGTCCACTTATTTTAGACACTATTTGAAAACAGTACTGCTGGCTTGGTTTATTATACCAACCTTTGTACCAATGTTTTTCTGGGGCGAATCTTTCATGATCGCTGTTTATACCTGCACATTATTGAGGTTGATTTTTCTTTTATTAGAAAACTTGATATGTGGGATATGAGTTCGTAGGTTTAATTTCTTTTGACACTCTGATTATGTAAAATCATCAGTGTTTAGTTCATATTGATTTATTTCAAATCTCAGGTACTGTTCTACTCTGCATGGTACATGGTTAATCAATTCATTCGCTCACAAATATGGCTACAGGCCCTACAATCCATATATAACGCCTGTTGAGTCCTTATGGGTTAGTTTAGAGATTGTTGACCGTTTTGACCATCGTTTTAATCCTTTCTCGGTAGCCAACGCAATGTTGGCTTAAAAAAGTTTTCACTAACATTGGCGTATATATTTTTATCATATTGAGATAATTCTTATCAGGAACTAGGAAACATGATAGTAAGCTACTAAGAAGCATGACAATAAGCTAATCAACTTTGTTCGGACCACTATCTTTGAACCATGGGTTGTACTTGTCACGGTAACATCGCTGAAAAGATTCATCTTACCAATATTTTCATTCGTTTTGGTGAAAGAAAGCTGAATCATTAAATTTCTGGCTATTTAAAGCAATTCTTTTATCTTGAGTATAAAAACATTCTTAGAAATTTTATATTAGCAAGCAGTGATATTTACTTTCAGTTAGCGGTAACAGCAATGGGTGAAGGTGGCCATAATTATCATCACACTTTCCCACAAGACTATCGGACATCGGAATATATACTTCACTTCAATGTCACGAAATTATTCATCGACATACTGTTTTTCCTAGGATTGGCTTACGATATGAAAGTTGTCCCGCAAGAGGTAATATTTAATATAATTTAGTGGGTAATATTTAATATTTAATGAGAGATTTCATTTGACAATTGATTACTTTTACTGACTACTTTTACATTTGACAATTGATTACTTTTGCAGATAATTGAACGGCAGAAAGCAAAATACACAAAGAAATGTGACTGATTCAACCGAAGTATTTGAGCGCTTCATTTCATCACGCTATAATAGGTAGACATCATCTGCTTTTTCAGTTTTCTCATACTGTCTTCTTTCAGATTATTAGGATGCAGTAACATTAGGAAAAGATTGTTTTACAGAATGATATAATTTGCTGAAGGTTTATTACGACACTCCGTTTGATAAATCGTTGCACCGTTGTCGCAAATAACATCTCACATCAGCGAATGTTGCCATTGATTAGACTTGTCTATGACAAAAGATAAAAGCATACATACAATTACCACGGATATTTGTTACTCATTTTGTTACAGAGTGTTAAAAAATTAAGAGTTAATCAGTGTTCAAATTGTTGATGAAATGCCGTATTCGAACAACAACGTTTGTATTGTAATGCCTATTTTTTCAATCTTTTCTTGTTCACCGAGAATATTCCTGTATGGCATGCCATTTGGAGAAAATTCACAGTTAAATTTTCCACCATACTCGTCATTCTATGCTAGTATTTACTTATAGACCTGAATTTTCCACTTGAGATTTACCAACAATTTTATTCTATCCTTATTTCGTGAGCTATGAGCTTTGGAGAGTTTTGGTAACGTGAATGAAACTGTAAGATTGCTTCACTACTATGGTCTATCTTGACCTTCTGCACCGAATTTTACTCTCTCATCATTTCCTTTGCATAGTTTATGTTAATCAGTCACGAAAATACAAATTACTCAACTATTCCAGTGGAAATAACGAAAAAAATTAAAGATGAAGAGTGTCATTTGAGAAATTAGAATTAATAAAGAAAAAGAAGCATAGAGGAGCAGTATCTATTACAACTTTACACGACTGATAACAGTTTGACGGATCTTACTGTGAACTACTCCCAATTTTAGGAGAAACTGAAGGATTACGAAGGTCCATCACTTTATCTGAAAAAAATATGTCCCAGCAATTGCAGTACGAATTGTAGTTTGAAGCTCTGTTTTACTTTCCAAAAAACACGACTGGATATCATTTGCTTGCACAGCATAAAAGCGTCATTAAGGAGCCGTTTAATGATCACAAACTAAAATAAGTAGTAATATAGAAACAGTGGCGGTATGTAAATAACTCATCAAGACCAGTCCTAGAATTGCTAGCGATAGGAATAGCACTGTTAACTGAATCTTCTTAGTTTCTGTTCTGTTTAAAAGATATGAATGAATCTTTGGTGAAAATACTCCTATTACTATCTGGTGCAAAAAAGGACCGGTTCAAAGTTGTGTCCTATGAAA